CCATCCCCCAGTGCCTTCGCCGCTTCCTCCCTTTCCTCCTTCAAGGCCGGTCTCAAAACCTTTCTCTTTGACCATGCCTTCAGCTCCCCTCTCGACTCTCTTCCTCCTCCTCGCTCCCTCCCTTCCCTCCCTCACCCTGACCATTCCCCCTCCTCTCTCCCTCCCTTCCCACCCCTCACCCTGACCATTTCCCCCTGCTCGGGTCATGACCCAACTGTGCAGCGCCTTGGGACGTCCTCCTGACGTGAAAGGCGCTCTATAAATGGAATCTTGTTGTTGAATCTTGTTGTTGTTGTCTAACCATCACATGCACTCGTGCAACAGAAAATTTGAATGGAAAAGGGGAAAAGCAGAAAAGTATATATAATATATATATTTTAAAAGTACTTGAAATCTAACACTTGGTTTTTACCACTGGAAGTAATTTATTGTTTTGGGGGGAGGTAAGTGGGGTTTCCTTGGAACTGAACTGGAACAGTCTCTAGTCCGGTTCCTGAGCCAGGCAGATCCACAGTATTCCAGGGCACTGCTGATGACAACACAGCCTGGCCCGGCTCATCAGCAGGACCAGGAAGAGCAGACCAGTCCCACTCAGCTCCTGTTAACCCTGCAAGCCAAGCTTATTCCTAGATGGACAAGCAGCGGGAAAGCTTGCCAGACAGCAATATCAATGGCAAGCTATGTGGTTTTAGTTCGTTAGACTCCAGCAGTTACCCCAACACACACTCTGGGGTCCCCAAGCCTTGGCTCTTGCCAACCTGGACCTAATACTTTCCGGAATTAGGTAAACAGGATGTGTCCCTCCATTCCAACAATCTATCTCTGGGATTTCCATGTGTCGGTGGAATGCATGGAAATCTCAGCTTGGTTTGGATGCACTTAAGCACAGTGATGGGTTTCGGCATGTATCAGACACCCGGCTGCGCAAAAAAAAATGTAATTTATTATTGCTACCAGCAATCAAGAGTGTTACACAATGGCAAGCGACTACAGAACCAAAACTTGTGCAAGGATGACTAAAACAGTTGAACCTAAATTACACAATTATTTTTAGACTCTTCATGGGAGTAAAACATTAATAAACACAGTTGGGATAAAAAACAACATAAATGCAAACAGAACATTCCGACCTGCAACAACAACAAGATGACATTTGTATAGCGCCTTTCACGTCAGGAGAACGTCCCAAGGCACTGGACAGTAGGTCGCAGAGGTAGGATGGGGTGAGGCCATGGAGGGCTTTGTAGGTGAGGACCAGGATCTTAAACTGGATCTTCTGAAGGATAGGGAGCCAGTGGAGTCGGGGGAGAATGGGGGAGATGGGGTCACAGAGTTTGGTGTGGGAGAGACACAGGTTGCATTGTTCTGGATTATCTGCAGCCTGTGGAGGGAGGAGTTGGGAAGGCCGACAAGCAGGACATTTGCATAGTTGAGCTTGGAGGTGATGAAGGCATGAACAAGAGTTTCAGCGGCCTGAGGGGTGAGGTAGTGGCAGAGTCAGAACAAACAGCGATAAGTACTCAAGATGCAAACATGCAAATATTTAGACATGAATCAGCCAGGTTCTCTACCCCACAGTCCCTTCACTTCTCCTCTTCCCTTGCCTCCTTCAAGGCATAGAGAAAAGGCAAATAAGCCCAAGCTAAAGCTTCCACTAGGAATGGGAAGCTCGCAGAAGGCAGGCAGGAGAAGAATCCTTAACACAGAATGCTTAACACAGAAAGGGGAACGCATCAAAGGAAAGCTGTATCTATAGTAGGAGTCCTTCATGCTAAAAGGTACTCTGAACCTCACATTCGAAAGCTAGAGAGAAAACACGTCCGACTTGGGTTGAGCTACCTTCCCAAGAGATTGAGAATAATGATCCTTCCATTTGATATGACGCCTCATCACATCTTCCACATGTCTCAAAGCGCTTCACAGAATATACTGTAAAGTGAATTAACTGTATATTTTGTGCGCAAAATGTGGGAGCCAATTGCATACAGTAGTATCCCCAAACAATCATGGATTGAGTGACCAAATTATTATTTTTTTGTTGTCGTTGAAGGGATTATTACCACAGGAAAATCCATCCGCCCTGCCAGGAATCCATGTGTTAAGGGTCCTGTAGCTCAGTGGCCTTGCAAGTGAGAGACCCGGGTTTGATTCCTGGCAGGGCGAAACCTTGGACAAGTTTCCTTACTCCACATGCCTGATAATAATCTTTCATGAAAAAAAAGCAATAAAATTGGTCACTTCAATCCACGACTGTTTGTGGGACACTGCTGTGTGCAATTGGCTACCGCATTTCACCCACAAATATACAGTCAATTCACTTTACAGTATTTCCTGTGAAGCGCTTTGAGACGTCTAGAAGACGTGAAAGCACTATATCAAATGCAAGGATTATTATTATTATCAAACCTTGTTTTATGATGACAATGTGTATATTTTTACCTTGACCAATAATCTATAAGCAAACGCCTACAAATGTAATGCAGAGTTTCACTTCCAAACATGTACACCTGAACAGACAGACGGGCTAAAGTTTATTGTTTCATCTGAAAGCCCACGCCTGAAACAAGGCAGGGTCAGCCTGGAGTATGAATTTGAGGTCCCAACGTGAGGCTTGAATGTCAGGCAAGCTTAATAACTATTGTGCCACAAAGGACAGTCATTTCAAAGTGCTTCACAGAATATACTGTAAAGTGAATTGACTGTACATTTTGTGAGTGAAACCAGTCGGAGACAACCATCACTCAAGTAGAAAGTATTGTAACTACAGGCCAGAAGTAGTTAAGCCTCTAATGGCCGAATCAGGAAGCTAAGCTTCAAGTTGCCATTGACAACAGTGAACCCCAGTGGAGAAAGAGTGTACATTTTGTAGTCAAAACAGGAAGGACTGTTTGGCTTCAGTCAGATAAATCAGCTTTATTGCTTTGCTACATCTTATGTGGGGGCGAGTCTCAGAATGAGTGGTCCCTAATGCAGACACTACATTGAGGGGCAAAATAGAGGTCAGTAACTGATGTAAAAAGCACCTGCACTCAATAGTTCTAGTTCATAGGAGACAAAGCTCTGTTTATGTGAATCATTGGGGGCAGAGAAACATCCCACTCAGATCCTGTTCACCCTGCAAGCTAAAGCTGATACTCTTAAGCATAGTGATGGGTTTCCGCGTGTGTCAGACACCCGGCTGACAAAAAAAAATGTGAATCATGTGCTTGCGTTACAATGAGGAGAACTTCTGAAAGATGTTTGGAATTGCAACATGCTGAAAGAGCCCATAAAGGGGCAAGCCTGTATGAAACAGAACCATTTGGGATAGCTTCTTTGTCACTTGCTGTGCAGATGAGACCAGGCAGAGGGCAAGATTAAAACCCTTTAAAAGCTAGCACTGGGTAGGCGGACAGGATTAAAGTCAAGTGAGAGATTAAAGAGAAACTACATGAAAATAATTTACATTGAAATTAATGTAGAGACAGTTTATTAACAGAGACACAATATTCATTTGATGATCCTAAGATTAACATCCTTTAATAATAATCCTTGCATTTGATTTAGTGCCTTATCACGTCTTCGAGACGTCTCAAAGCGCTTCACAGAATATACTGTAAAGTGAATTGACAGTGGGCGAAATGAGGCAGTCAATTGTGCACAGCAGTGTCCCACAAACAGGATTGAGGGACCAAATTATTTTTGTTATTTCTCTTCTTGGAAGGGATTATTACTACAGGAAAGCGATCAGTCAATTGACTAACAACTGTATTCCTACTTACTGCTAGGTAAACAGAGGCGTGTGGAGTAAGGAAACTCGCCTAAGGAAGCAAATGGGATAAAGTGGAGTCCTGTAGCTCAGTGGTTAGAGCACTCGCTTTGCAAGATAGAGACCTGAGTTCAATTCCAGGCCGGGCGAAACCTTGGGCAAGTTTCCTTACTCCACACAGAGCCTAATAATAATCCCTCCAAAACCAAAAACAATAATAAATTGGTCATTTTCAATCCACGACTGTTTGTGGGACATTGCTGTGCGCAATTAGCTGCAGCGTTCGCCCACAAATATACAGTCAATTCACTTTACAGTGTGTTCTGTGAGGCGCTTTGGGACGTCCTCCCGGCATGAAAAGCGCTATATCAAATGCAAGGATTATTATTATAAAGCTGAGGTTAATTTTCAGTCTGTTCCAGTGCAGTAAAACTGTATTAAAAGAAATGAAAACAAACCCAACTTTAGTTAGAAGGGAACTGAATGTCACATAATTGCCATGTACTCAAAAGGGAGGACTTTTTTTGTGCTCTCTGAGTTCTGTATTTTAGCCTTTAAACTAGCTGCCATTCAGAAACCCTCACCCACGCATTTGTCACTCAAGGCATGATTATATGAACTGCCTTCTCATTGGCCTTCCCAACTCTTCCCTTCACAAGCTACAGATCATCCAAAACTCTGCAGCTCGTGTACTCTCACGCACCAGGCTCCGCGACCCCATCACTCCCACCCTCGCCCGACTCCACTGGCTTCCCACCCCCCAGAGGATCGAATTCAAGATCCTCATCTTTAAGGTCATTCATGACCTTTCCCCCTCCTACCTCTCTGACCTGCTGACTCCCTACCAACCTGCACGCTCCCTCCGTTCATACGGTCTGCTCCATATCTCCCGCCCGACCCTCCCTACCATCGGTGGCCGGGCTTTCAGCCTCTCTGCCCCCACACTCTGGAACCTCCATCCCATGGTCATTTCGCCTCGCTTCCTCCCTTGCCTCCTTCAAGGCCGGTCTCAAGACGCTTCTCTTCGACCGTGCCTTTGATCTCCCTCCCACCTCTCTATCTTCCCTCACCCCTACACCACCCCTCCCCCTTGCTCGGGCCCCAACACCTGACTGTTTAGCTCTGTATCAAATGTAAGAATAATTATTATTATATAATCACTGAGCAAGTCAGGCCATTAAATCAGCAGCTTCCACACAATCTCAAACTCATTTGACTCTGTCCTCCAGCCCACTCTGAAACCAACACTCACCACGGCCTGCTGGGGGTTCTTCTGGGCCCACATGGTGCACTCTTTTGTCATACAAATCCAAGCCTTGATCAGCGATTATCCCCGTGAAAACAGCGTCAGAGGCTTTGTTTCCACAGGTGGTGCATCTCTGCACACTGGGACATCAGATTCATCCCAATCAACCTCACAGAACACATAACATCCCCTGCTATCCCAAAGAATTCAGCAAACTGAGACCCAAAGATGAAGAGGTCTTGCTACTAACAGCTGCGATATCGTAATAGTCATGCACCGCTCTGCTGCTTCCCTTTAATAATGCTATGGGAACAGCGCAACTGTACCATGTGGCTAATGTAATGTGAGTGGTTAGATTCTGTGCCCGGCTCTGAATAAGGAAGTAAAAAGCCATTAAGGCCAGACGTGAAAGACACAAAACTAATGTCATTTTGTATTGTATTGTACAGACAATTTCCATTGGTATACATTTCCCTTGCTTTTTAACTCCACGCTGAAATCATTCTTTGCGAAACTTTGGCTGTGAAATGGAGAACGTTATCTTAACATGGGCACCCTAACGTAGAGAAAGAATTTCTTGCTGCCGCATTGAACTACTTTCATTTCCTCTTTGCTCAAAGCTGAAGGTTCGGGGGTGGAGGAGGTGGGGGTGGGGGGGGAAGAGTGGAGAGAGAAAAGGCTAAAAATAAACATGCCAAACTCCGCTTGTGTGAAGTTTTGTAGCGTAATGCTTAGAGAACTTGCATCGCAATTGGCTGCCACATCTCACCCACAAAATACAGTCAATTCACTTTACAGTATATTCTGTGAAGCGCTTTGAGATGTCTTGTAGATGTGATAAGGCGCTATGGCCAGGATTATTATTATTCTAATGGACTTGGAGAGTCCTAGACAGCCTCCACTGGCTCCATATCACCGTATGGATTTCTAAGATCCTCACACTCGTTTTTAAATCCCTCCGTGCTCTCTGACTTGCCTCTCCGATTTGCTTACTCCCCAACCCACTACCCGCTGTCTTCGCTAGGCTGGATCCAGCCTCCTGCATGTCCCTTGTGCCCTCTGTTCCACCATTGGTAGCTGCGCTTTCAGCCACTACGTCTCGAAGCTCTGGAATACTCTCCCTCTATCTCTCCACCTCGCCCTATCCTAATCCATCTTCAGCTGTTAAATGCTCTGGGATGCTACCCTGCGTGAGGCGGTGCTATATAAAATGCAAGTTGATGTTTTTTGTTGAAAGAAAACGTGCTAAGTCATTATAACCAAGAAATATATCTGAGCAATAAATATGTCCATGTACACACTACTCAACTGAAGTGTATTGCTGAGCTTTCACCATTATTGCACACTTAACCAGAAATAACTCAAAGTACATATTAAATGTAACCTTAATGTAATTGCTTGACTTGACCTCAGTGCTCCTCAGCCAAGAAGAACAGCCAGGCCAATTTAAGTGTTAATGTTTTTGTGCAGTGCAGGAGCACTCAGAGAAAGTGATGCAATGTAATCTACATTGATATAGCGCCTCTGATATCGAGAGGATGTCTCTGTGGTTCATACTGCTGACTGGGGAGTGGGAACTGAGGAGGGTAGGAGGGGCGAGGAGGGCGGAGAGACAGTGGAACGAGACTGTGGAGGGATTTGAATATGAGAATGAGGATCTTGAATTTAAATGGCTGGGCGATGGGGAGCCAGCGGAACTGAGCAAAGATGGAGGTGATAGGATCGTGGAGCTCGGAGTGGTAGAGGACATGGGCTGCAGAGTTCTAGATAGTCTGCAGCTTGTGTAGGAAGGAGTTGGGGAGTCAAGTAAGCAAAATGTTAGCACAGTCAAGCCTGGATGTTTGAAAGTGTGAATGAGGGACTAAAGAATAACATCAAAATTATTTTTAATTTTTCGGGGTCAGCCGAGTGTCTGACACATGTAAAAACCCATCACCGTAATTCAGAGTATCCAAACCAAGCTGAGATTTCCATGCATCCCATCTACACATAGAAATCCCAGAGATAGATTGTTCGAAATGAATGCGCACTCTCTCATTGGAGGGATGCATCCTGTTTACCTAATTCCAGAAAGTAGTAGGCGCAGGTTGGCAAGAGCCAAGGCTTGGGAGCCCCAGAGTGTGTGTTGGGGCAACTGCTGGAGTCTAACCAGCTAAACCCACAAAGCTTGCCATTGATACGCCAAAATTATATTTAAACAGTATAACTCTTTTTACGTCGGAAGGATATCCCAAGGTCCTGGGAAGGGGACTGGGAGGTAGTGATAGAAGCGGGCAATATTATGGATGTGAGGGAAAGCTGTAACAAGTAAGATCCTGGACATGAAGGTATAGGGAGAAAGTCATAGTGAGAAAGAATGTTAGAAAGAGGAAGACAGCGCTAGAGTCAACTGAAACTATTGACTATTTCTATTGACTCTTACTCAGCAACCCAACCCCTTTTGAGGTTTTAATAATAATCCTTGCATTTGATACAACGCTTTATCGCGTCTTTGAGACATTTAAAAGCTCTTCACAGGATATACTGTAAAGTGAATTGACTGTATAATTTGTGGGCGAAACACAGCAGCCAATTGTGCATAGTGTTGTCCCACAAACAGTTGTGGATTGATTGACCAAGTTATTGTTTGTTTTTGAAGGATTTTTAACCTCTGGAAAATTGATCCGCCAATCGACTAACAACTAGATTCCTACTCGCTGCTCGGTGAACAAAGGCGTGTGGAGTAAGGAAAGTTGCCTAAGGTTTCTTCCCGCACGGAAATCAAACCCGGGTCCTCTCGCTTGTAAGGCGAGTGCTGTAAACACTGAGCTACAGGACTCCACAATACTTGGCATTGACAGCAGATTTGTCCGGTGGCAGAAGTACCCACATCTGATGCCAGTCAAACTGGTTCATGTGGTTCTGATTAAGCTGCAAGAATTTAACTTCAGCTCTGAATCAATGATGCTCCAACAAAGCTATAGCAGTGAATCACTTTAATCCACCACATTAAAAGAAAGCCTGTGACCATCTTGTTTACATTAAACTCAGCTGGGTGACTAACGTGCTCAGAAATCTTTCGCTGATCTTAATGCTTTGTAACTAGACATGCTGAGAACTCTCAGAAGCAGCTTCTGTTTGTTTCACACAACTCCACTACATTTGCATTTCCTTTCTCTTTTCAATACTCTGCCCCATACACATTGAGTAGGCCCTGTGCTTGCCCTGATTAACCTCTGACTCTTACATTTCGCCCACAAAATATACAGTCAATTCACTTTACAGTATATTCTGTGAAGCACTTTGAGGCGTCTCAAAGACGTGATAAGGTGCTATATCAAATGCAATAATTATTATTATGTCCATAAAAGTTTATTTTAATTCTTTTTAGTTTCCCTATTAGTTTTGTTTCATGCCCTCTTTCGACTTTCCCAGTGTTTCTGCACTGAGGTTCCTCTGTTCCTCCAATATTTTCTGTATTCTGTCTCTTGTAATGAGCATTTGTCTTCTTTTAAGATGCTGACCTAATAATAATCCTTGCATTTGATATAGCGCCTTATTACAACTTCAAGACATCTCAAAACCCTTCACAGAATAACTGTAAAGTAAATTGACTGTATAGTTTGTGGACGAAACCTAATGGGGACCACATTAAACCACAACACTCCGCTATTGGACCCAACCCTTTGCTTTTATGCTGGTTCAATCACAGAAAGAATTTCAGTTCATTTTTAAAGTACTTTTCCTTTCTATTTCTGTTGTAGAACTGAAACTTTATGATTAATTACAAGAGAGCAACACATATCTGGATGCAGAATTATCTATCCTGGGCTCTGATGCAGAAATGGAAGGCTAACAGAAATGCACAATTGTGTGATGCACAGGAGATATCCAACCTGGAGTTCTGGATTCATGTTTGATATCTCCTTGCTCCTGCCTTTTTTCCCTACTATAGCATAGTCGTTAGCACACTCGCCCCGCAATCGAGGGGACCTGGGTTCGATTCCCAGCAGGGAGAAACATTGTGCAAGTTTTGTTACTCCACAAACCTCTGTTTACCTAGCCATAAGTAGGACCCCGGTTGTTAGTCGATTGGTGGATCGCTTTTCTGGGGGTAATAATCCTTTCAAGAAAAAAATAATAATTTGGTCATTCAATCCACAACTGTTTGTGGGACTCTGCTTCATTCACAAGATATATAGTGAATTCAATTTACAGTATATTCTGTGGAGCGCTTTGAGACGTCTCGAAGACGTGATAAGGTGCTACACAAATGCAAGGATTATTATTATTATAATAACATGATTTACCCACCATGGAGCCACCACAAACCAGAAGCATGAGCTTTATCAGACTGTTTAGAGACCGAGAGTGTTCCCAGTAAAAATTTTGGTTAGTAACTGCAGCCAAGATTTGTTCTCACTGCACTGTTTTCATTTCCAAAATGGGGACGGTCCCAACTAGTTCTTATAAAGGGCTCTCTACATTAGCCGAAGCTTTAAAATAAATCCTATTTTTGCCAGTAAACAGAGACTAGTTACTGTTTTTTTAGTAAGTGATTACATCTCTGAATTTACACATTTGTGGAGTCCTGTAGCGTATTGGTTAGAGCAGTTGCCTCGCAAGTGAGTGGAGTTGGGTTCGATTCCTAGGCAGGGTGAAGCCTTTGGCAAGTTTAACTTGCTCCACACGCCTCTATTATCCAGCTGTAATTAGGAACCTGGTGGTTAGTCGATTGGAAGATCGCTTTTCCAGGGGTAATAAACCCTTTTTAAAAAAAATTTGGTCACTCAAAACCATGACTGTTTGTGGCACACTGCTGTGCACAACTTTTCTCCCACAAAAGTCAATTTACTTTACAAGATATTCTGTGTAGCGCTTTGAGACGTCTCCAAGATGAGATAATGTGCTGTATCAAATGCAAGAATTATTATTATTATTATTGTTATTATGGAAGAGTCTTGCCCCCTAAGAATAAATCTCAGTACACAAACAAGATTGAAGTACCTTTTCAAAGTGGACAGAAGCAGGTCGGACTCGTGTTGAAGAAAAACATCTGCAAGAGGGAAGGGGTTCAAAATTAATACATTGCTTGCACAGGCATGGACACATACAAAGATGGGAAACATCGCAAGTGAGAGGACCTGGGTTGGATTCCCGGGCAGGGTGAAATGTTAGGCAAGTTTCCTTATTTCACCACCCTTTGTTTATCTAGCAGTAAGTAGGAACCCAATTGCTTTTCTGGAGGTAATAGTCCCTTCAAAACAATAAATACTTTT